GAAGCAACATAAGAAGAAAGGAGAAGAAGATAATGGTAAACAAATAAAAGGGAACAAAATTCATGCTTATCTGGAAATTATCGTCGCCAGAATCTCAGTTTCGTCGGACAAGCTCCGACTTTATTTGAGTGTTGATTTTGAATTCATTAGAGGGAGACGAAGATACTGGTCTCTCCATTGTTTTGTTTCGGTGAATTTTTATTTTGGTTGAGGTTTTTTTGAAATCGATAATGGTGAAAACAAAGATACCCAGAGAGAGAATGTTGTGTTAATGCTATCGTGTTCCAATTCTCACTTATTCTTTTGTTTTTAGTTTTAATTATTTAGCGGCTAGCTTTAATCGTTTTCTATTACATCATAAAAAAAAAAGATAAAAAAGATGAAGAAGATGAAGAAATTCTGAATTTATTAAAAAACAAATTGAAATAAAAATAGAAAATCCACATGACACTTAAAAAAATATAAATTAAAAAAAACCCACATAATCTATGTCACGTCAAAGATTTTGATGATTGGGTATCACGAGAGATTAAAACAAGAGAATCTGCAAAAGGTAGAGAAAAAATTTAATTATTTTTTTTACAATGAATTTTTAAAAATTTACCTATATGACAAAGGACAAAATAACTATTAACGCATCATTTATTTTGAATTGAATCTTAATTCAATTTTAAAACTTAACAATACTTTGTAAAATAATTAGGCGTGACAATGTGATCTTTTAATTAAAAATGTAAAACTTTATTTTTTACAAAATAAAGAAAAAAGAAGCAAAACTCTTATACTCTCTATTCATTACTACTAGACTTATCTTGTTGTGCTACACTACATTTCCTCTTTCTACAACCCAACAAGTGTCAAATGGAACACATTTTATTAGCTTGGGGGTCCTTTTCTCTTCATTTTTTTTACCTTCCTTTTGTCTCATTTGTTTACCCTATCGCATTGATTTGCTAAAAATTACCAAATCCCGACCTATCATTCAATGGTGAATAATAGCATATGGTTGCTCATTTAGATTGGCCAAGATAAGAAAATAAATAAAAATAGAGTTTAGCACATGCATATGTTGAATGAAGTATTGATCTTTATAATTAATTAGCTAATGGGAGTATCTCTTACAAAATTAGAAAGATTTTGCTAATCTTTTTAGTTCAAGTTTTTTCATCCACTAAAAAATTGTATTAATAATTAGTTAGTGTTATTTTTTGAAGGAAAAAACATAGAAATCTAATATTTTCAAAATTGCATAAGTTCAAGGTTAAATTCCTCATAAAAAACACTAAACACTAAAATACCATTATTTATCATTAAGAAAAATTAACATTTATTAAAGTTTTGTTTTTTCTCATAGCGATCACAACTTTGAAGTGCATTTGAGATAATTAAAAGTCATAGAAGATTTAGAATTTTCAGGCAATTCTAATGTTTCAATTGATTTTTCTTATTTTAAAATTACTTTCTTTAAATAAAGTAATATAAAATTTTATTGTCAATTTTGAGTCATATTAAAAGTTTTAGTTCAAATTAAAGAAAAACAGATCAAATTGTAAATTTTGAGATTTTAAAAGGATAAAAGTGTAATTTAAAAATATATTAAAGATCAAATTTTTGAAAAACTAGATGAGTCAAATTAAAAATTAAGAACATGGACTAAATTATAAAATTGAAAAGATTATTAAAAATAAATTTGAAATTTAAAGTTTATAACATTTTTTCAAAATTCTTTATTCTTAAATATTATCCTAAATTACATAAATTTAAATTAGATAAAATACTTTATTAATTCTCATCATTATAAAAATTCTTCTAAGTTTTCATTCAAATAATATAAAAAAATTATATAAAAGAGTTTAAAATTCCTCAAAAAAATTACATTATCTCAAACATTATCTCCTTAGAAAAAAAGAAAAACTCTCATTTAAATCGTATATTAAATTGAATGTTATTATATATATATATATATATATATATATATATATATATATATATATATATATATATATATATATATATATATATATATATATATATATATATATATATATATATATATATATATATATATATATATATATATATATATATATATATATATATATATATATATATATATATATATATATATATATATATATATATATATATATATATATATATATATATATATATATTATTCTTCATTTTATACACGTCACTTTTTAGATATATCAAAAAAAATGTCTCTGAAATATATTAGAATTTTTGAAATTTTCAATTTCGTATTACAAATTTCGCACAAATAAAAAAAAAATTGTTAAATTTTTAAAGTTTTTTACCGTGTTATTTGATTGTTATTGGAAATTCGAAATTTCTGATACCAAATATTTTAAATTTTTGATGTTTTCCATCATTAAAATAATAAATTGGAAATTTGAAATTTCCGGTGTGAAAAATACCAAAAATTTCAAATTTTCTGATATATTTTTTTTTAATTCTAAATACAAATCGAAAATTTAAAGTTTAACTGAAATTTTCATATATTAGAAATTTGAAATTTCTGATAAATATTTTTTACTGAAAATTTGTTAAATTTTTTATATTTGTAGAACTTTTGAAAAATTTACCGAAAATTATAAAATTTATGGTAAATTACAATCGAAAATTTCGAAAATTTTGATATATTATTATCGAAAATTTATAAAAGATAAAAATTTTCAATTTACGACAAAAATTAGTACCAAAAATTAATTAAGAGTATTGGAAATTTTAAAAATTGTCATTCTAATTAAATAGTAAAAAAAAAATTTATGATAAAATTAAAAAATTTAAAATAAATAATAAAATAAATATTTTGAAAATATTAAAATTTAGAAAGTGCCCTATATAAAATGAAAAGTGGCATATTAATTTATCTCCTATGGAATATCCATATTTGATTTTTTTGGAGTGCATCTCTCGTCACTTATGACTCTTCCATCTCATGGTCCTACCCTCACATTATTATGATCAAACGCTCGCTAGCTCGATGTTGGTTGATATTGTCAAACATCCTAACTCGAATTTATTATAAACTTGTTAAATATCCAAGCCCCCCATATTTAAGACTCGCCTTCAATCCACACTTACATCATCAAGATTATAGATGAGCATAAGGGAAACAGATGAGCGTTGAAGCCGTAATAAAGGACTTTAAATTTTATTCTTTTTTAGAGATCACTAAATTGAATGTGTTTGAATTCGCACTCTATAATTAAATATTTCTGCATAAATAATAGGCTGCAAATATATATCGTAATTTATAGAGATCAAATGTTCAAATACCGCTTTCTATTATTTTGGTGTAAAGTTACGATTATGCGAGCTTTTGTTTGCATAACGAAATTAATTTGATTTTACTCCATATTAAAACAAGAGCGCGAAACAATGATTTTTATTTATCGAATTTGTTTATGCGAATCATTGCATTTAATCGTAATGAAAATTACATTTTTATAGAAAATATTAAAATTAAGGGTAACTCTTACTTTTGTCGGCACGTTATTAAACTCTAAACTCGCAACTGTTTATTTTCGCAGCACAAATTTACGAGTTTAAATATCCTTTCAAAATATTATAGTCTCTCAATTAATTAAGAGACACTCTTACTGTTTAAAAATTAAAAATTCAAATCTTTGACTCAGATATCATTTCTACCTTTTCGACACATATATTTTCGTAGCGAATCTCTTATTTTCAAAATAATAGTGCTTGGATCATTTCCTCTGAATTACAATCCTATTCTATACATTTTTGAATTTTAAAATGTACTCAAAAATTGTGTAGAATCATAGAAGAAAAAACATAAGCAAAATGAGAAAGGGGGAGAAAAATCAGAAATTAGAGTAGACGAAGATATGCCTATCATCATCTTTTGTAATTTCGATCTCTGGGTCTATGACGAATGTACAGTCAATTATTTATTTTTCTTTCCGATTTTTTCCATAGTCAAGTCAATTACCATATATTTAAACACAATAAAAACACTCAAATTTTACAATAATACAAATAAAATACCGCGAAACACGAAAAATAAAAGCGATAAAATATGTGTGATAATAAACATTCTATAAAGTGATTTAATAGAATTTATTATTTTTATATATTTTTAATAAATGATAATTTTGTAAAATTATTGATATTTTTACATAAAGTTAGGAGTATTTTTTTAGTAAATAGATACGACTGTGTTTTTAAAATGGACGAAAATTGAATGAATGAGACACATATTAGACTCCTTAGAGTGAAAAGTGTCATCTTTTCAAAGAGATGAAATCCATTTCTGCACAATGGAGTATCTTATCTGATATAAAATTGATCACGATTAAATTATATAACAAATAGAATTAAAAATATTTATAGCATTAAATATGGTCCATAATTATTTTGCTAAATTAGGAACGCGTTTGGTCGAGGTTAGGCGGCTGATAGGAGATTGGCGGTTAATGTGAAAACTACTATAGATAGGGGCCAAGTCCAACCTAACCAACCCAAACAATTACAAAACTATCAAGTTAGCCGAACCAATTTCTACTATTGCATTTCATTTCATTATTCTCACAAGCCACTATCATGCACAAATCATGCAAGCGATATCTACCTTGTAACAAATAAATGAAGAAAGAACAAAGAGATTTGTTATAATTGTTGTGTCATCAATTAATACACCCTTAGTATTTTCACCTAACACTTTCTAAACTTTAAATAAGTTTCATCAAATTTATGTAGAGCTTACATAAAGTTAATATCTGATAAGTAAGAACATGCATTTAATATAAATACAAAATTTACACTTTATTCTATTGAGTATTGACTACACTTTATCATAAGTAACTTCTAAAGTACTAATCAACTATATAGATTATCAAACACTTGCTCATTAAAAACAAACTGTAAAACAGATTAACAAATAAAATAAATAAAATAAAACTGTAGTAACAAAGTGTTACACAAACTCAAACCAACATTTTTTCCTCTTTTTTTCAACTCCTCTTGTTTTTGCTACCAAGCAACAAAACCACATAGAACAAAATCCTAAAGAAGAAACCCCAAGCCACAGTTATCCACAAACAGTTCCATTTACTCAAATCCAAAACTCCATTTTGCTTCAACAAATCAGTACCAGTTGTTAAACAAGTAGAAGCTGTTATATTCATTCCCAAAGTTTCACTCATATTATCCAACAGCTTCAGCTTAAGTGCATCAGGAACAGAAGCAAGAGGTGTATTATCGAAAATCTGAACCCCTCTCACAAAACACTTAACTGCATCACTAAATTCGTTCTGCAAAACAGCTTCATAAGGATATTTAACCAATGACATGTAATGGAACCATATCCAGTAACTGGGGATCCTATCCCGATTAATAAAGAACCCGCTAAACAACAAGAAGTAAGCGAGAATGGCAACCACGATAGTGTAACCTAACATAACATGAGGCACTACACCAGAAAGAAAGGACACGAAGGAATTCCCGGCCCAAAACGAAGCAAAGATGATAACAAAATAAAACAAAAAGCCGGAGAATCCACCGTCTAGGCCAACAGCCCAAAACGTTAGAGCAGCAAACCCGAGCGAAAGAAACAATAACGCAGGTAAAGCAACGAGAGCATGTGAAATGACATAAGACCATCTTCTATAAGCGTTGTGAGAAGTTTCTCTCATGAAAATGTACCTTTCTTGGATAAAAACCGGTAATGCATCTGCGGTGGTGTAAAAAGTAGTTGACATAGCAAAAGCAAAGAATCCAAGTCTTTCTTGAACACCTTTAGGAGTGTTGTCTAGTTGCCAGAACATTGTTGCAAGAATGAACCCTGTCACCATAACAGCACCTAATCTTATTCCGAATAGTTCAGGCATTCTTCTTGAATTGGTTATGGACCGCTTTGAAAGGGTTAATAACTCAATCCAAAACGGATTTGCGTAAGTAGGCACCATAGACGCTGCTGATGAAGATGATCTTGTGTTGGAGTTATTTGTTGCGGTTGCTCCAGAAACTAACTTACCTTTTGAAATACTTGCGCTGATAGCTTCCTTCAATGACAAAGAAGAGGTTGAGTTTTGTGGTAAATCTTCAACATGATGAAGCTTTGTCATACTTTGCCACGATTTGTTGAATTCAACTAAACTTTTTGTTCCTCCGGGTGAACCTTCAAGTTCGCGAATTAGGTCTAATGCAAACTCGGTACGGTTATCACCTTCTGGTATAGGATGACCGAATTCTGCAAAGTATGAAGGCAACTGCGAAGGTGAGCCGCTGTAAACGGTTTGTCCACGCGATAAGAAGATCATGCGATCCAGAAGACCTAAGATTCTGTAACTTGGTTGATGAATTGACATGATGACTATGCTTCCACTCTGCGCGATTCTTTGAAGAACTTTCACAACCATGAAAGCACTTGTGGAGTCTAGTCCTGAAGTTGGCTCGTCAAGGAATAGTACTATTGGATCATGGATGATGTCGATTCCAATTGAAACTCTGCGTCGTTCTCCGCCTGAGACACCACGGTGGCCTTCGTCTCCTATGACCGTTTTTGCAGCATTGCGGAGTCCTAGTTGATCGATTAAAGCTTGAACACGCGCATTTTTCTTCGATTTTGAGAGTGATCGAGGTAATCTAAACTCGGCCGCAAAGGTGAGAGTTTCTTCCACAGTAAGCATCGGAAAGAGAAGATCATCTTGCATCACGTAAGCTGAAATCACCTTAAGTAAACGAGACTCCACTGATTCACCATTCAGTTTCACCGAACCTTTCAGCTTCCCTTTCGCAATTCTGTTAGCCAGCGCGTCTATCAGAGTTGATTTCCCCGAGCCACTAGCTCCGAGAAACGCCATGATCTCACCGTCTCGCGCTTCACCTGTAATATCATTCAACAGAGTCTTAGTCCTTGTAAACACCGACTCCCCCGATGCTTCACCCACCGGAGACTCACGACGACAGCATGAAAATACGTCGCTGTAACTCATCTTATGCCGGACCTTGACACTGTAGGTAAGATTGTTAAAGGACAGAACGAATGGAAGTAGTGATCTGGACTCTGTTCCAACGTCAACAATATGATGAACAGGCGTCTCACTACCGTCTCCAGTAGCTTCCTTCCTCACATCACCAACATGTTTAAGAAGCTGTCCGAGAGTTGGCATGTCACCGGAACGGCGGTGAGTGAGGTTATCCATTTCCATAAAGTCGAAATATGACTCAGGAACATCTTCAGCTACAATGCGAGAAGACATGGCTTATGGAGTTGTTGAGATGTGAAACTGGTCTAGGAAGGAAAAGTGAGGTAGCAGTGATTATCGAGGGTTGAGAAAATGTTTGAGAATTAGACAAGTATTTAAGATGAAATTGAGAGAGATGGATACAGTGTATGGATGGGGGGGGAGAGGGGGTGGTTTATAGTCGTGGGGTTCAGTTGGGTATTTATTGTGCGGTTTTGACTAATAATATATTTTATTAGCTGTATGAGGCGTGAGAGAGGTGACCTAATTCCTTCAATTACCTATACGTCTTCATTTTTCTTGTTTTAATTTTTATGTTTGCATTATTTAGCTATAACTGTGGGAACATGTGAACATTTGTTATTGGTTCATTCACAACACATGGGTTACTCTTTTTTTACTTGTTCTCTCAACTTCATTAGTTAGGTTGGGCGTTCATCTACTGTTGCGTAAGCATTGCTTATACAATACTACTGTTTAATTTGGTCCAATCTTACAGCCTTTATCAACAATATATTATTTAATGAATATGTTTTCAAAGGCTTTAAGAGCTAATCACTGCTCATGCCAAAAATATTACTATAATTAATTCTACTAGTTCAATATTTTTTTACGTGAAATATACTAGTGGATTCTAGAGATGTTTATTGGTTTAAGGATGTTTTTTAATAATATTATGTAATTATGAAATACAACTTCATGATCAAAACAATACAAGAGAAGAGGTTGCTATTTTTAATTTTATGAAGTTCTATTTATTACTATATTTAGAACCACCTTCAGTTGAATTGATATCTTCACCAATCCCGGCCAACTGAAATAAAGAAAGCATTTATCTATGTATTCAATTCTATCAGTGTATTCTGATTTATGGATGGTAAAATGAATAAATACTCACCCATCAACCATGTACGGTTAATAAACTAAAAACTCAACCTCAAAAGTTATTATTATTTTTACTTTGACAAAAATAATAGTCTTCTTGAAGGTGTCTAGAATATTTTAGACAAAAAAAAAAAAATGAAAGTGTCTAGAATATATATGGTCTAAATTTACATTCATTTTATTAAATACAAATATTTGTAAGTATCACGATAATAGTTAGAAGTCATTTTATATATATATATATATATATATATATATATATATATATATATATATATATATATATATATATTATATATATATATATATATATTATATATATATATATATATATATATATATATATATATATATATATATTATATATATATATATATATATATATATATATATATATATATATATATATATATATATATATATATATATATATATATATATATATAGATTCAAGTGAGAACACCTTAATTATTATAAGAAATGAGAATAATTAATTTTGATTATTAAATTTTAATTTATTGAAATTAATGGAATAAATAGTTTGTATTTCTATAATTCTCTTTTATTATAATTATACAATTTATAGCGGATCTTAACTCATGATGTATTTAAGGAAATAATATATTTATAGAAGATTAATTGAAATTATTTAAATTTTTTATTAGAATTTTGAACATAAAATAGTTTTATAAATGATTTATGAAATTTTATATTAAATATTTATATATTGTATTATAAAAATATTAGCAATTAATAAATTAATTCAAACATTTAATATAATTATATATTAATTCAAAAAATGTTTACTAATAATATATATTATCATTATATAAAAAATTCAAAAAACATTTTCTAATAATGTATATATTATCGTTATATACAAAATATAAATTAATATAATTATTTTATAATCAAAATCATAAATATAACTATTTTGAATTACTTTATATTAACTTAATGAGTTTTTGTATTAAATTTTTTAGTACAATAAAAATAATATAAATATACTTATTTATGGAAAAATAAATTTGTTTAATAGATTTAAATAGTTTTGATCCTCTTTTATATTTTTTTATTTAAAATTAACGATATTTTTACTTTTTAAACAATAAATTACTTGTAAAATATGATAAATCATCGTATATAAATTTATTATTGAACTTTATAGATAAAAATAAAAGTTAAAAAACAAAAAAAATCTTATCAATATTCTATAGAAAAACATGGAAAAAAAATTAAAATTATTTGAATTTAAAATAGAGAAACTAAAACTATTCGAATTTAAATTAGAAGGACTAATTTAGTGAATCAGACAAAATAGGAGAATCAAAATCATAATTTAACCTAATAAATATTTAAATATTATTTAAAAAATAATTTTGTTACAAATATAATTATTATAAAATTCCTATATACTACATATTCCAAAGTCTTCAAATATAATCAACATCGATCATATTATTATTCTTAAAAGAAAACTAATATCTTTTGACGATTAATATAACTTTATGTGGTTGTATCAAAAAAGTTAATAATATATTTTTTATTTTAATTATAAAATAATATTAATATTATTTATTAATAAATAATGATATTAATTTCTATTTTTTAATACAACAATATAATATATACAAGAAGTAAATATTTTTTAAATTAATATATATAATTATATTAAAAGTTTTAAGTAATATATAAATTTTTGGATAAATATATAATTATATATATCTTGATAATAGTCAGAAATTATCCATTTTATTAAATAAAAGTAAACTTGTGCGAGACTTATATATATAAATATATATATATATATATATATATATATATATATATATATATATATATATATATATATATATATATATATATATATATATATATATATATATATATATATATATATATATATATATATATATATATATATATATATATATATATATATATATATATATATATATATATATATATATATATATATATATATATATATATATAGTCTAAAATTATCCTTCTCATTAATTTAAAAATATATTTGGTCGCATTTCATAGGTATTACGATAATAATCAGAAGTTATTCATTTTATTGAAGAAAAACTTATTTGTGTGCCCTTTATAGATATCATAATAATAGTCCAAAGCTATTCATCTCATTTAATAAAAGTATATTTGTGTGAGACTTATACCCATACGATTATACGCTAGATTGTTATTATGTGAACTTTAATGTCTTTAGGATATTGATAGTGTATTAAAGATGCAAATTTTATTGTGTATCTTATTATATTAAAAATTATTGTTCTGAAATGTATGTATAACTAGATATTGAAATAGATATCATGATAATTGTCATATGTTATCCACCTGGATGAATAAAAATCTTATTCATATTCATCTTATATTCTTGCGTGTATTTGCAAGATTATTATTATATGTGTTTTGATAAATACTCACCCGTCAACCATGTACAATTAATAAACCAAAAACTCAACCCCAAATGTTATATCATGATTTTTATTTTGACAAAAAGTGTAATTTATTTTAAGGTGTCTAAAATATATACGGTTAAAGAGTATCATGATAATAGTATAAAGTTATCCGTTTTATTAAATAAAAATATATTTATGAACACTTCATATATTATGATAATAGTCAGAAGTTATTCATTTTATTAAATAAAAACCTATATGTTTGCGCTTCATAGATATCATGATAGTAGTAAAAAAACTATTATTGAATACAAACGCTTCATGTATTATGATAATAGTTGGAAGTTATTCATTTTATTAAATAAAAATATGTATGTTTGTGCTTCTTAGATATTATGATAGTAGTAAAAAAATATCTATCTCATTGAATACAAATATAATTGTGGGAAACTTTATTTTTACGAGTATATCTTAGATTGTTATTATGGGAGCTTTACTGTTCTTAGGACACTTGATAGTGTTCTAAAGATAAAAATTCTATTGTGTATTCTATATATTTCAAATTACTGTTATGAAATGAATCCATACTAGATATGACAATAACTATCATGATAATAGTTTAAAATTATTAATCTAAATAATTAGAAATATATTAACGCGAGTTTCACCGCTATCACAATAATAGTCGGGAGTTATCATTTTATTGAGTAAAAAAGTTTTTGGGTGCACTTCAAAGGTATCAAGATAATGGTCAGAAGATATTTATCTCATTAAACAAAAATATATTTGTGCAAGACTTATATCCTTACGATTATGTTAGATTATTATGATGTGAACTTCGTTAGGGTATTTGTTGGTTTTTGGATTTTAAAATATTTGTCACCGAAGAAATTATCAGATTGAGTCGCGGACTAGGTCGCTCTCTTTAAGACGTTTCGCGGCACTGCTTAAAATTATTCAAAACAGTCAAACTACCGCGCCGCCTCCAGGATAAAACAGTCATGTTCTATATTGTACGATTACTACTTGCATGATAGATAATCGGTCTAGAAATACACCCTCTGATGGTACAAGACTATTCAAATATGGTATCAACACCACTCTTAGTATCTGGTAGTATCTGGTACAAAGACCAGTCATAATAATTTCTTAAACAAAAAGAAACTCAAATGATTCTCCAAAGAGAAATTAATAATGGTCATTTGACCACTCATAATAATTTCTCCAACAAAGAGAAATTCAAATAATTCTCCAAAGAGAATCCAAAAGATTAAACTTGAAAATTTCTCAACTCAAATGAGGAGAAATTAACATAATTCTCTAAAGAGAATTCAAGAAAATACTCGGAAAATTCAATGAGTAGGAAGAAAGGGGGAGAAGATGACGCTTCGACAATTCAAGAGACGCAGAGTTATGAGAGTGAGGAAGGAAAAACTAATAGAATAGTTTTTGGTGTGATTTGGAATGAAACATATGCACTCCTTATATAGTGAAATAGGATAGTTAATATTTCTCACATGAGCAATGTGGGACTAAATGGTTTTTTCAACCAAAAAGATATTCTAACAATGTGGGACTTGAGAAATTTTTAAATTCAACATATTGGAACATGGACATGTTCCAACAATCCCCCACTTGAATTTAAAAAATTGATTTTAGAAGTAACGTCAAACGTTTCTAAGATTGTGCATAAACAAAGGTGTC